AAAAATATGCAATACAGTTGCCATTTATTATATGAAAGTACAAAATATACAAACAGAAAAAGCCACAAGAATCAAATAAAAAAATTTAAAAAGTCATCTTCTAATCTGCCTGGTCTTCTGCATTCGGCCACATGTTCTCATCCACATCACACCTGATATCTTCTTCTCTGGCAAGGTATCTTTTGGTATTGCCTTATCCTTCCTGGTATTGTTCAGCTGTGATGTCTTGGCATTCAGCATCCATTGCATCCTGGAGGGACATTTGGCCCTGTGGACGATGGTCAAAAACCTTGCATCTCCACGCTCAGAAAAACTCCTCAATGGGGTTGAGGAAAGGGGAGTAAGGGCCAAGGAAAAGAGACATCATTGACTGACTGCACTGGGAATGGTGGAATGCCACATTGTTCCATGTGATCACATATATTGGCAAGTGGTCTCCCACCTGTCCCCTTTCTCTGGCACCAGTCTTTGGTACAGATCTTCTAAAATCTCACATTTATGCAGGAGTGCACTTTTCCACACAAGATCAGCCCAAAGAGGTCCTCTTTTACCGTATACTGTATGGTCATGTGATTGAAAGAACTTCAACACCTGAGTGTGTTTTCTAGATGGGAATAAGCTGTAATTTATATATTTGCATAATTTCAATCAGCTCTTGTTCATTAGCAATGGAATAAAATACAGGACAGATATTTGTGTTTCAATTCACAATATGAACAGCTGTTCACTTTGACTTTAGCCTATAAGTTAGTTTTAGAAAATTATGTTATCTGATCTGACATACAGTGTGAAAGCATTTGAAAATTTGCCAGTAAAATTACATTGTTTTGGTCTTGGTTGAGCTTGTGTGTAAAAGAAGTTCAAGCATTTTAAATTTGTGTTAACTGTATGCATTTTGTGTCAAAGCAACAAGAAATGTGTTAATTGTATAGTCTACACAGACGGATGTTGTGCTAACTGTGTTAAGAGTTTAGGAAAATTGTTAAAAGTACTGAAAAAATTGTCATACCGATCGAAAAAACTGTAATAAAAATGTTTCTTGAGCAGCAAATCAGCATATTAGACTGATTTCTGAAGGATCATGTGACACTGAAGACTGGAGTAATGATGCTGAAAATACAGCTTTGCTATCACAGAAATAAATTATATTTTAGAATATTGTAAATTCAAATAGAAAGCTGTTTTTATTTTAAATAGTAATTTAATAATAATTTTAAATAGTAAAATATTCCACAATATTACTGCTTTTGCTGTATTTGGGTCAAATAAACGCACAAGCCACACACACACACACACACACTGTTTTAGTATTCTTACTTTTATAATATATATTTTAACAGAGTTAGATCTGAACTTGACACCATGTGACTGCCTGTGCATTTGTGTGTGTGTGTGTGTGTGTGGGAAAAAAGCAGCTTTGACATTTTGACAATATATTCTTTGATAATATATTCTTTTGTTCCACTGGAAAAAGTTTCTGGAAAACGGTTTTGAGTTTCACTTGAGGGTGGTAAATGATGACTGAATCTTTAGTTTAAAGGCAGAGTAAGTGATTTTTCAAAAACACTTTAGAAAACTGATTCGGGCCGAATCGCAAAACAAACTTGTAGCCAATCAGCAATAAGGGGCGTGTCTACTCGTGATGTGGAGGAGAGAGCTTTCAGTGCATGGGACGGACATTAGCCGAGCCGAGCGACAGAAAGATAGAGATGGCGGATAAAAAACAAAAGAGGAAAACGTCTGCGGAACAATAAGGCAAGAAGTAGGACCCGTGTAAATATCGGATCAGCTTTCCAGCGCTGGAGAGAACTCAAGGAGCGGAGGCCTGCGATCGGACGCCGAGGTTGCTTTGTTTCTTCTCAATAGGTGAGTAACACCGTGTCTACACTTTTAGACAAAAACTTTTCAAACAAATGATTAAAATTATCATTATCAATTATTTTATTTATTTATTTATTTTTTGGCAAAATGCACTTTGTTCAATGGGCATGTGAAATATTGTAACATTAATCAGATTATATATCATGCATTTAAACACCAAAATGTTAGTCAAAACTAATGTTTTTCTTAATAATTTATTTAGTAATAAACTGATAAAACATATTTATGTACAATTTGACATGTATACAACTTTATCAATTACTAGGATTTTAGCCACTGTTTCTTTTTCTGTCAGTTTTACAAATCATTATTCAAATACATATTTTCAATGTAATATAAATTATCATACAAACTGCATACCTAATAATAATTCTAAAAATAAAATAGAAAAAATATTTTTATTCTTATTTTATTTTCTGCACTATTGCTCTTTACTTGGAAATTTGATATTCTAGTACTGCTAATATTGTTGTATTCATTATGATAAATTGCCCGTTTTTCCTTATTTGTAAGCTTTGAACAAGTGTCTGGCAAAATGATTGTTCATTAATGCTCATTACTGTTTAAAAGAGTCACTCTGCTTTTTCATAGGATGTGTTTACTGTAGAACGCATGCATTAACTTGACTTTTAAAAAAGGCTGCATTAAGAGCATTAAGTACAGAGGCCAGTCAAGATTTTTAAGGATGTTCCTTTGCTCTGTTGCTAAAACTTTTGTTCGATGGTCCTTACAGATAGACTTGGAGCCAGAGGGAAAGGTTTATGTCATTATCGTCTTGTCTGGATCATCCAGTGAAGGTAAGACAGTCTTGTAAACTTTCTGTGATCGCATTACATGTCATTTAAAGACTGCATGAATCATGTCCCTGTGTAACCATTATACTCAATATAAGATTTCTCAGAAATACAGACGTCTTGTGCTGCCTGATACAGTAAATACTCAGTTAAAAAAAGTTTTCATTGGTGACAGACACAATGAACACTCAAAGCTAAAATTGTTGTAGTTTTGCTACCATTATGGCATTGCTTGAAATGCAGACAGAATTTGCAAGTCTGTGCAGCTGCTCTTTCTGGAAGTCATATGAAGAGCAGCAACTTTCTGATCTTGATGTTGCCTCCAGTGTAGCTGTATATATTGAAAAAAGCCACTGTGGTGCATGATCATTGGACCCAGATCCTGCGTGGCCTAATTCCACCCAGATGTGCCTCTCTCATTGACACTCCCTACGGCCCAACTCCCATCAGACCCCTGTCTTTCCTGGATACACATCAGAGATGGCCCAGTTCAAGAGCTCCTTCATCCTCTCGGCTCCATTCCTGCTCCTGGAGGCAGAACATGTGACCACTTGTCTCTCACGCTGATCTAGATGCTGCATATCAAACATCTCCTTGTTTCTACACAGACGTTATGTCTACACCATCAGTGGTGGAATGGCGCAGTTTGCAAAACGATTAGCCAGGAATTTCTCAAGGAGTAGACTATACCTCCGAAAAGTGACAAGAAATGGTAATATATTGGGATGGCATATGTTGCGTTTTGGATAGTGATCCAACAAAATGAGAAGCCACCATGCATCTTAGCTAGCTTAGGCCCCGTCCACACGGAGACACGTTTAGCTGTATACGCATACATTTTGTATCGTATAGGTGTTTCGTCCAGACGGATCCGGCGTTTTGGGAGAGTGAAACCGACATTTTTTTAAACCGGGTCCCAGAGTGGATATATCTGAAAACGCCGCCCTTGCGTTTTTGTATGGACGGCGAATCCGTATATTTTCTGAAACGATGACATCATCAGCCCACGTCTCGCCCCTAGTCAGACACCG